GGGGGGAAGGGTTAAATGAAAGTCCACTTTCATGACCCTTTTCTTTCTTCAAATTTTCTAGCAGATACTGCGTATCCTTTTTTCATGCTTTTCCCCCCAGAAAAAAAAAAAGAGTACTAAAAATTAAAGGTTTTATATGCTATCACTGTCCTTGAATTCTTAGGTAAGACCACTGTCAGAAAGAAGATCCAACTTGCAACTGAGAAAGGTGAGGTAGTCTGAGAAGCCAGCCTTGGTAACTATTTCTTGATACTGTATTTCTAGTTTTGACAAATAATTGAGCTCCGCCTGTGAAGAAAGCCAACCTAGTCAATTTTATTGGTTTTATATTTCACTGTTTTCCCCAAATTATTATGGGAGTTGTAGTTCAGTAAGGAGGCACAGATCCCAACCTCCTCTCCCCTCATACAAAAGATGGTCTTGTTCATTCTTCCATGGGAATCCCCAGTTTGGCCTGAACACCCCATAATGCAGTTTTCTCTACCCTTGTGCTCTTCAAATATTTCAGTGAATTACTTTGTGCAAAAGTTCCTGTTCACGGCTTCTGAGCCAATGAGAAGTGCACCCAAATCAAGGCTGTTGTACATCTCAGCTACTTTTGTTTGATCTCAAGTACTTAACAGTAAGAAACTAGAACTGTGCATGGATGCTCATAAATTAACCCAAAGCCAATAGTAGAAGGCAAGTTTGCCCATTTCTGGAAGAGGTAATATCCCTATATTGAAAACAAGCAAGCAGCAGTGGTTGCTGGGGGAAGAAAGAGAACAACACATTTATATTTTATTGTATTTCACCTACCAGCTCCTGAAGAAACAGCTGTTTCCATTCCTCTGAATATTTCCTCAGCTTTGAATGTAGCCAGCACTGCACACGGTTCCCTGCCCTAGAAGCCTCTCTTGAAACACAGGTAGATGAATTTGTAAAAGTTTGTGGGGAAATGCAGCTGGGATACAACAACAAAACCAGTGACGGCCAAACCTTTTGTCAGATGATAAAAATATGGAATTGTCTTTAATTTTCAATGGAAATGTTACTTATTCCATGGACTTGATTGAGAATGAAGAACTCTTGAGCAAGTGTGAGGTTGGCAACGAAGCATCTCACAAGTAAGGGTCCTGCAGCAGCTGCAGCTATCTTACTTTTCACTGCTTGGAACTGTATGCAAAGTTTGGGTGGATGCCATTACAACCCAGCATTTCCAAGCTGTATGGCTAGTATAGCTTACTAGGTCCCATTTCCTGTGCCACCTGACTGAAATGGATAGCCTTGTGCATGACCAAACATGCACTTTGGTACAAACTCTTCAATCTGACTAGAGCCTGAACATTTCCATGGGCTGCTACGACATATTGCCCATTGTTGTTTGGACTGCTTTATTGCACATGGATCTCAAAAATGGTGAACGTAGAGATGGTGAATATGGAGCAGCATGTACAACAAGCACTGCTTCCAGCTGTTGCAAAATGCAGAGCTACCAGAGTCTGCAATAGATTATGGTTTAAAAATGGTGGGAAGTAATGTTGTTTAGTATGCTAAACTATAAACCAGCCATGTGGCCATTTATGGAAAGAGCCAGTAAGGAACTGTAAAGCGGCTGTAAAACTTACCCCAGAGTTCGTTCATGTATAAAATTGTTGCTCTTGCGCTATTAACATTCACAAGGGAGGCATTCCAGAATAAAGAGAATGCTTGTATCAATTATGAAAATGTACCAATAGTAATTTGTGAAGGTGAAGAGATTCTCTCGAGCCAGGCTCAACTCCTGATGACTCCTCTATAGTTTTCTTGGCCATAAGATGGAAAGGGGTTGCCATTGCCTTCTCTGAGATGTTTTTTGACTTCCCAGTCTAGTTTGTAGCCCTGGGATTTCCTGGTCTTCCCTCCTCTCATCCAAGTCCTAATTGAGTCCGGCGCTGTTCAGTTTTTCCAAGCTCAGCCAAGGGTGATAGCTGCTGCAGTCTGCTGAGGATGGGAGCAACTGGGCTGAAGGACATGCAAAAAGCTGCAGAGAGGAACATGAGAACCATAACGGGGTGGCTAGAAATACAGGAAAGGGACAGTAAGGAAGCCATCTTTCCATCTTTTTTTTTTTTCTCTCTCTTACAGATTCTGGGATGAATTTTCAAGCTTCAAGCTTTGATCAAGCTTTTATAAACCTACTAGTATTCTCCCATATTAGATACATTCATGAAGATTTCAGCTATAGTGCACTATAGTGCTCTATTACAACTGGGGGCTTCAATATCTTCTTACACTGCCTGACTTGGTGCTTGAAGCTCTAGCTTCAATAAGTAAATTAGCAGTAGGAAGGCTTTTCATTATGGAACAGGGTGGAAGACTAGAAAGCTGTGTTGCTTCATTGGAGTGTGGCTCCTTTCTCTTACTCTTACTGGGGCATCAACAAAAGAGACTTTCCTGCTTCAGTCTGTGCTAAAGTATGTACATTCCTCTACTGTGTCAAACATGCCGCTGTTCTTATACTTGAGGAAGTTGTCAATTAAACGCTTCGGGAGAAAAGAAAGATCAGGGAACGTTTAATGTTCCCACTGAGTGTCGTCTAGCTGTGTTTTCCTATCCAATAGTGTTAATACTGTGTATCCACTGTGTTCACATGACATGCCCTATCCAACAAATAAACTATTTTAGATCTTAATGTAATGATCCAGTAACCCAAACATACTAAGAAAAGGCCGTATTGCCACAATATGTTAAACTACTACTTACCCACAATCATTTTAGAATCTTGTATCAGTTCAGTTTTCATGAATGAATATTAACCTATGTAGAAATATAAACTAAACACCAGCTCCAAAAGTTTTCAAGGAAGCAAGCAGCAAAAAGTTCAAATTTAGCAAAATTGTTGGGATTATTTTTGTCAGTCATAATGCAAATGATGTAGTTTCCTTTCTATCAGACTGCTGAGCAGACTGGCAAAAAAAAATGCATTGTGACTTTCAGCAGCAGTGATCTTCAGCTTTATAGTACTATTATTTTGAAATGCCACTCATGTGATCAACTATAACATCTACTTTGCTTGCAAAACCTTATTTAGTGGTCAGGTGATTAATATCTATGTTGCTGCACTTGTTAACAGCTTCTAATTTAACCTTCATTATTGGCCCAAATGTTGGGAGAAAAGATAAACTGGGCTCATTCTTACAATCTATACAGGAATGATTTTGCCAGTAACATGGCACTGTAGAAGAATTTGTGCCTAGGTCATCTCTGTTTGATGGGAGCTGATGCCCACTGGTTCCCAACATTCATGCCACAGCAATTATCCTACTATTAGCTTCCCTGGAGTTGTCAGGTATTTTGCATAAAGGACTACCGTTTTTTTTAAGCCTACCATAGGTTGGCTAGCAGAACTTTGGGTGTGATGTGGGACTTTTGTTAGTAGTAAGGATGACAAGATAGGCCTTCCAGTTGTGACTACAATCCACAACATTTTCTTGAAAAAACTATCTTGGAGAGAAACTTCCCAATCTTGGAACAGTTGTAATGCAGAAGTTGACACTCCCAAGGTACACAAGTACTCTTTCCCAATGATGAGTACTATACATCCAACGAGGCCTGAGACACAAAGTTAAAGACAGTGTAAATAGTTTATTATTTTTTTTTAAGTACAGGTATTTTGTACAACAATATTTGTTTTAAAATGGGAATGGGTTGGAAAGAATGAAAGTTATATTCTGAGTAGCAGAGAAGGGACACTGGTACGTACTTACACTAAACACATGATCTCTGGAACAGTTGGGGATATGACAGAACAATACATTCTAACCTGGAAAGCAAGCACACACTGTTACTGGCATGCTGATTCTGGATATTCACCAGCTTGCTAGCATTCAGTGGTCTAGCTGTACAGAATAGGAGGAAGTCAGTATATGAAGATAAAATGTGGGCAGGGAAGAGCACAGTGCATGTGATAGCCCCAATACGGTACAGCATGTTGTTGACTTCACTAGCTCTTCCACTTTCAAACATGAGAACTAGATACACAACAAAGATGTGGTGAGTTTGCATCGCTAACTTCAATGCAGTGTGGCCAATTTAATTTATAGCAGCAGGCAAGCTGATCCCACTCAAATTTTGTGCATTTCAGAAACTACCACACACACAGCAAGAATATTTTTACATACACATGGCAGAACACTTTCTTTGGAACAAAGGTTCCCCAAGATTCTCTAGGCAATGACTTCATAGCCAAAGAGGGAAGCTTTCTTTTTTTCACCACGTCAGTATCAAACATGCTTAAGCAATTATTTCATGCCGGATTATTTACAATCCAAAGCATGATCTCCTATTCTCTATCCTGATTAAATAAAATTCTTCATCTGGGCTATTGTCTCACATTATTCCTTCCCTTCCATCATTATCTTGCCCAAATATACATTTTTATATCCCAAGGCTCTTGCTTTATTTGCTTTATTTGTTGCAAAGTCATTCTGATCAAACTTAATTTAGGTACCACTAAAAAAACATCTCTTCACAATACAAAGGTGTATTTGTATGTGTGTGGGAGAAATACAGAGAGGACAATGTATCCCAACAGCATAATAAACCAGAGCTTTTGTGGAAACAAATCCCACAGGGATTAGATGATTTTCTTCATTAAGATTATATTTTTTAAAGAAAATAATGAAAAATAAATGTAATAATGAAAAAATGTTATGTCCTTTAACAGTAGTGTTTAACAATTTGAGGTAAAGACTAACAAAACATTCTATGGGCATTCATAGTGAGTTTTTCACCTGTTATGTGAAATTAATTTACAACAATACATAATAACTTGAACACTGGAGCAGGTATGCCTGTCAAAGGGAGCATTCACACTCTTACTTAAAAATATTACACTCTTGCCCATTAAAAACAATAGTGTTGTTTTTAACAGTGTGTGCTGGCAGTTTCACAGATGCTAACCAGTACATGCCTAACATAACCAGAGCAGTTTTACAGAATTTATTCCAGGACAGGAAATGTACCTTTTCATGGTGGGAAGCACCATGCCCTCAATTTGGCTCCGCTACTCTTAAAATGATGAGATTTCTATGATCAAAGGCTAAATAAACTCGGACCTAGGAAATACAGACCAGTTTCTCTTATCTCTATGTCTAATTCCACTCAGTTCCCTAGAGCATACTTTTTTTTGTAGGTTGCACTGCAGCCCAGGATAGGAGTGGGGAAGAAAGATACCTATTTAGGGTCATTTATAGTGTGCCATCCAAAGTTACACAGAATAACCAAAGAAATTCAATGCTACCTGCTTACACAGGAAGGGGCACTGGCACCCAAAGGGATGCATTCAAGTTAGTGAGCGATTCAAAGTCAAGTGTCAAACCTGGGGGGAGAACAGAAGTAGCAGTCCCAATCCCAGCCCTAACACAGCACCACATTGATTTCCCTCTGTGCAGAAGGAAATGTAAAGAAAAATCCTATTAAAGTGCAAATTGAAGTATGCTGGTAGCTACCACAAGCACCATCTTCAGCCTAGCCTGTCCAAAACAATTTGCTGGGGCCAAACATAGCAGGCTGCTCTAAGATACTGGCTGGGTTAAACTACTTTGCAGGTGGCTCCTCTTTCTTAGCATAAGAACGTGAAGCCTACCACAAAGCATGGAAGATGCCTAATGGCTCTGTGTTGTTATAAATACTTGGGGGAAGGACGGGCAGGGCAGGGCATGGCATGGCATGGCATGGCATGGTATGGTATGGTATGGTAAGGTAAGGTAAGGTAAGGTAAGGTAAGGTAAGGTAAGGTAAGGTAAGAGAGGAGATGCCTGTGGGAGCTCATGGCAGAAACAAAAATGCACCTCTAAGTGGTGTTTTGCTTCCTCTCTCACCAAGTTCTGCTGAGGATTTTATATATCTAGCTAGCTACCCCGTATGCCAAAGGACTGAGTGGGTTTGGCACCTTCACTGGGAAAAGAATAAAGGCCTGAAGAATAGCCACAAAAGGAAATGCAAGGGAAGAAAGCACACAAGGACCACTGCATTAAAAACTGGCTTCATCCTTTAAAATTTGTTTATAATACTTCATGCTAAGGGCAATAGTAAATTTAAAAATAGAAGCAAATGACTGGCTCACATACACAGCGCATTTGGAAAGTATTCAGACCCCCTTCACTTTTTTCAGTTTTGTTATGTTGCAGCCTGAT